TGAACCGGCGTTGACGGTTTGTCGGGTGAACTGTGGTTGTTGTCACTTCTTCTTCTTCTTTTTTCTCCCTGAGGCAGCTGAAGAAATTCAACCTGCCAAAGACGATGATGGTCCACTTCTACACGGCCATCATGGAGTCCATCCTCTGCTCCTCCATCACCGTCTGGTACGCTGCAGCCACTGCCAAGGACAAGGGCAGGCTGCAGCGTGTCCTCCGCTCTGCAGAGAGGCTGATCGGCTGCAATCTGCCGTCCCTGCAGGACTTGTTTGCTTCCAGGTCTCTGAAGCAGCTAAAAAGATGGTAGCCGACCCCTCTCACCCCGGACAAAACCTGTTAGTGCCCCTTCCATCTGGCAGGAGGCTGAGGTCCATCAGGACTAAGACCTCCCGCCACACCAACAGCTTCTTCCCGTCGGCAGTCGGGCTCATCAACAGAGCCGGTCCCCCACTGACTGACTATAACGTTCCACTTGTTACTCCCCTTCACACTGCACACGTCACTTTTTACTCGTCACTTTTGTCACTTCCTGTTGCACTTTAGTTTTTGATATTTTTTAACTTTAGCTTTTATTTTAAACTAACCCATAACCTTACTCTACTAAGAGCCATCGCATTATATTTTATTTTATTCCTCGTGCACTGTTGGCGGTGGATGATCAATAATTGGCACCCACCATGATGCCGTCAACGTGTCAGGATACACCACTGTCCTCCCTTATAATGTGGAAACAAGCCGAGGCTCCAGAGAAACAAGCCCTGATCACCTTCCTCCCTGCTTCCACTTCTGCCTGTATTGATGGTCTGAAAATACGGTTCGTTGTAAGTGGACAGAAGGTCTGTGACCTCTTGAACTGAGACATGGTGTTCCTGAGAATAAATGTCATGTTCAATGATTTCACAACGGTGTCGAGTAACATCCTTCTTACATGTGGTCCTTGGAGGCGGATCTCAAGATCTTCTTGATCACCTTGACTCACTCAAGGTTTGGACGGTACGGTGGGTAAGGGACTCCTGATCAAAGGCGCTATTCCGTCGTGGGTAGTTTGAGAGGCCAGGATCTGCTTGAGAGAGGAGAAGTGACGAGATCTTTTTTGGCAAACCGGACCCAAGATATATCGTCTTTGTCTCTAGATCTCGGTTTTGCAAATGTTTATCTTTGAAGTTAGTGGTTACTTTCTTGTTCTGACAAGGTTTGAACTCTGATACTGCGAAATATTCATTTTTATGCGTTTTAGTGCTGAGAACTGGAGACTGAGGGTTGTGTCCCGAGGAGCCTGAATTACAGTAGGAACTAGCGCAAATCGTGGCACTGGCAACCCGCCGAGGCACTTCCTGTTGCAGGTTGCGGTGCCGCGGCGAATCGTGGCAAGTGCCTCGACACTGCGGCAGTTGCCACGATTTCACGAGGCAGTTGCCACGAAGTCGAGGCAGTTGCCGCGGCTTCACGACAGCTACCTCAACTTTGCCGCAGTGGCGCCTCGGCGGTTGCCGTTTTTACGACAGCTGCCTCGACTTTGCGCCAGACAGTTTCATTTCCCAAATATGTGATATGTTTGTTTTATAATTTTGCCAATATGTGACAATACAATACTGCCTTTAAAAGTACTGGCGTTGGTAGTTATTTTAGTAATAAAAGCCAATAAGTGATACAACGGCTTCCCATTTTAGTGCAGCTAAGCGAATATGGACTAAGATCACTTGCCGCCCTGGTTACAATCTCTACTTCGAGAACTAATCAATGCGTATGTGATTATATGAACAAACAATAACACCGGGTGGGTGCCATCAAGACGTGTCAAAAATTGAATGTCGGTATATAATATGAGTTACCAGTATTTTCATTTAAATTAATGTTGACTACAATTGTTGACGAAAGAATTTGCCTGAGCGTGATTGTGTGCATGAGTGTTTTTAGATATCCAGTGATCGCACAAAAGCTGCTGGATTAAAGTATTAAGCGATTCTATATTGTCTCATGATCAGGCAACAGACAGTACCTTCATGATGGATGTTACGTAAAAGGAAAAATGACATTCTTTAAATGATATTTATTTCCTTTTGAACGTAAAGTGTTTTAATGAACACAAACACACAAACAGAAGAATACGGGCGTTTGGCCGGCAACGGTGACGCCCAGTGAGCAGAGAACGAGGTCCAGGCCGAGGGAGACGCACCAGACAGCAGGCAGCTCACGTCAAACAGGAGGCTGGGTAAAGCAGAGGTTAGCAACGGGACAATAACAGTTCAGCTCGAACCGTCAGGACACAACAAGGCAGGCGATACGGGACAGGGAGCTCAGGTACGTCGGGTGCACAGGTAAAGCTCTGCTGGAGAACAAGGGGAAGAGGGAGGCTAGAAATAGTGTCTAATTAGAGGAAGCAGGAAGAGAAGATGATGAGATGAGAGAATGAGAAGCAGCTGGGAATGAATGAGCAGGTGTAATTAAGTGTGTGTGTGTGTGTGTGTGTGTGTGTGTGTGAAGGGGGGGTGCGAGTGTGTGTAAATTACAAGAAAGAGGTGGAAAGGAAAAAGAGGAAGGTACCCGGTTTATGACAATATCATGCTATAAACAGTTTTTGTTTACTAGGGAGACAAACATGTATTTCTTAAGTATTTTATTAAAGAATCACTAGATTCATCTATATGGTGTTTTTTCACGTCCATTGTGTTTACTGTGCATGAATGCAACGCATAAATCAAGTTCTGTTCTTTTGTGAATGCGCTGAATGATTTCTGCAGATAAGTCCGTAAAAAATGAACAGTTTTGTTTTAAGCCTAGTACTCTTGACAAAAATATATAATATTACTAGTGGGTGAAATAAAATAATCTCTGCTTTGTTTTTTAATGCAGAAATAAATGTGCTCAAAATCATCTCTGTAATTGTGTCTTGGTTTTGTACTGCAACGATTTGAACATTTCTTAACACTGCTTTCTGTCACTTCCTGACGTGTCTTCAGCACTGAGGAAAAGATTAGGCCTTTGAATGAACTGTAATATAACTATATTATATAACTAATTATATATATATATATATATATATATATATATATATATATATATATATATATACTGTAATATGAACTGAACTGTAATATAACTATATTATATACCTATACTACTAAAATATATTTACACACACATACAAAAAGCTTTCAGCACTTCTCAATAGTTTCAACGTTACAATGCATCAATATATACAATTTGCATTCATTCGGGGCGCTGCCGGAGAGTGGTTATCGTAACCAAGGCAACGAGTGGTCTTAGCCCATATTAGCTTAGCTGAGCTATTGCATCACTTATCGGCGTTTTATGACTAAACCAATTACAACCAACAACACTCGTACTCTTAAGGACAGAGTACAGCATAGTACTGGATAGTATTGTCACATTTTGTCAAAATGTGAAAAGAAATTTAATACTGAAAAGTAATATATACTAATTGAGAATATGGATGAGAGAGGGGTGGGTATCTATAAGCTTTTGCTTCCCTCTACTCCTTTTCTTGAACAAAAGGTGACCTTTCTAATTTTGTGGTCTATGTCTATGTTGATTTTTAATTTAAATTTTTTAATGTCTACATGTTCAAGAAATAAAATGCTTCAAATCAAATCAAATCAAAACTGCAACAGTCGAGGCATCATTGCCGCAAAGTCGAGGCAGCTGTCGTGAAGTTGTGGCCGCTGCCACGACTCGCCACGGCAACTCAACCCGCAGATAACAGTCGTACTCAAACTGTATTATACCGTCACATGTTGCATATATATGAATACTAAAATGAACGGAAACAGCCGAGGCACCGCTCCCTTAAACTCCCGGTACGTCTATCAGCCGAGGCACCGCTCCCTTTGGTCGTGGCAAGACTCCTTTAACTCGAGGTACCTCTCGACCGATGAACCGGCCCCTGAATTCGTGGTACCGCTCGAGGTACCTCACTCAGCCGAGGCAACAGGCGAGGCAGTTGCCGTAAACTCGAGGCAGTTGCCACGATTCGCCGCGGCGCCGCAACCTGCAACAGGAAGTGCCTCAGCGAGTTGCCGGTGCCACGATCCGCGCTAGCCCTCTCTCCTGAATTACAGGTGAATCGTAAACCACGGCAGACAAAACACGGGATGAAGGGATTTTTCTTTTTCAATTTCCCCTCTCTGAAATCCTAATTAGTCCTGATAGGAAATGTAATAGAGCTGGAGGAGAAAGATTGCTTTTTTATTCACTGTGTGTCAACAGGACTGATGGAATGAACAAATGGTACAATTGGATAAAAATTAAAGAAAATAGCTCAAATGGAAAATAGTTGGGTTACTATTATACGGCAGAACTTATAAAGTCAAACCATTAAACAAGTTAAAGACAAAAAACAGCAGAGTAAATGATAACAATGTTTAAAGAAAATAAATGGTTGCTGTCTGATGTTCTTCCCACTCAGACGGGCGAAATAAACTGGATTGTCATCAGACAGCTGTGGGAATCAGGCAGAATTGTTCAGCATCAGAGACCAAAAGCAAGAGTCTGTTACCTGATGTTTTGGGTCCTGTGTGTACAGATGTGTATGTTTGACTATGGTTCCATTCCTTAGTCAAAAAGAAAAGGTAAACAAAGCAGGGATACCGTTGATAAAAAGATCTTCTACTGAACCTTTTTACATTTCTTTTCATCACAGGAGTAACGTCTTGAGGTGGATCTGGACTGGACTCGCTTCGCCCGGCGGTTCCCTCCCTCGGAACGCCAAGTGCCACCAAACATGCCGAGGATGACGAGGAAGATTCCCTTTTATCTCACGAGTGAACAAATCCTGCATGCAGCTTTTTTGTTATTTCTGTGACTATTCTTTTAGAAGAAGAAGCAGAACTTGCATGTAGCAGTTGATTGATAACTTATTGGACTGAAGCGTCACGCGCTGATGGACTCGGTCACAGTTTCACTCCACACGCGTAATGATTACGTTCCATGTTGCTTATTCTAAGAGTGAAGAAGCCGTTTGTCCCGACATTGTACCTCACGTCGCTGCCCGTGTCTCCTGCCCCCCCCACAGAGGTGGCTCACTTCAGCCCCGGGCGCATGTCCGAGAAGGTCCTGTTCCACCTGCTGCGTCACCCCAGCGTCAACCAGGAGGTTCCCTTCGACCCGAACAACCGGCTGAGCGCGGCTCACTACCTGTACACGCGCAACCACCCGGTGGACTACTTCATCCTGCTGCTGCAGGTCAGTGAGCCTCTGAGAGCCTCTGAGGCCCGTCGCTCGTCCGTCCCACAGAGCGGCAGGAAGAAGACGTGGAGCGCCGTCACGTGACCTCTGGCTGCTTCCTGTTTGCGGTGCTCAGGGTCGCGTGGAGGTGGAGATCGGGAAGGAGGGGCTGAAGTTCGAGAACGGAGCGTTCACGTACTACGGCGTGTCCGCGCTGACGCTGCCCTCTTCAGGTGAGCAGGAGGACTATTGATCTCCTTCATGGTGACGTCATCGCGACGGCTTCAACGTTGATGACGCGTTGTTGTATTTTATGAATGAATAACGATTCGTCGCGAGACAAGAATCACTCGGTTTGTCCGTTTGATCGTGATGACGCAGCTTTATTCACTCCGTGTTTCCATAACCGAGGTTCAAAAAGGAGGAGAAGAAGAAGCAGGACAGCAGATGTTGTGCTGACTCGTGTGTGTGTGTGTGTGTGTGTGTGTGTCTGCAGTGCACCAGTCTCCTGTGTCGACCCAGTGTCTCTCTCCCAGGGATCCCTTCGAGTCCGCCGACGCCACAAGTCCGTCCAGCTATTGTCCCGACTACACCGTCCGAGCCCTCAGCGACCTGCAGCTCATACGGGTGCGTGTGCGTGTGTGTGTGTGTGCGTGTGTGTGTGTGTGTGTGTGTGTTCTCAGCCTTTGAGTTCTCAACTCATTCACAGTGTTCATAGTACTTTTTCGTGGTACTTTTCACTAAAGTACAACAATCTAAATACTAGGGCTGCAACAACGAATTGATAAAATCGCTAAAAGTCGAGTAAAGGAAGCGTGTTGTGCTCTGGCGCCCCCTGTGGACTGAAGCGGTGTTGCCTGTGAGCACCAGGGTCCCTTCAGGAAACGTCTCATTTAACAGGAAAACAGAAACACTTTGTTGCTCCTCATTTGTAGCCGATTCTGATTGGTTGAAAAGAGGCGTGTTGTTAAAATGTTGAAGTGGTTTTATATTAGAGTGACATTAATGAACGTGCACTAACCCACTAATCGCTGCACGACGCTGGCAGGTGACTCGTCTCCAGTACCTGAACGCTCTCATGGCGTCGCGGGTCGGTCACAGTCCAGATCCTCCAGAGATTAAGATCCTGCCCAACAGTCAGACCAAGCTGCTCAACGACAGAAACTCACAGCCAGGTACGTTTCTCCACCGTCCTCCTGGAACCAACACCAGCGACAACGTGTCCACCAAACCGCTGTGAATCAGGACGCAGGTCTTTTATTCTACGATTTCCTCTCTTTATAAAGGAAAGCTTAGTGGACTTAAAATATGAAGCGTGCATGTTAGAGAGCTGTCAATCACAGTAAGCCCCGCCCTAAAGCATCCCCTGCTTCATGGTCTATTAGAGACCTGTCAATCACTTTAAGCCCCGCCCTAAAGCATCACCTGCTTCATGGTCTGTTAGAGAGCTGTCAATCACTTTAAGCCCCGCCCTAAAGCATCACCTGCTTCATGGTCTATTAGAGAGCTCTCAATCACTTTAAGCCCCGCCCTAAAGCATCACCTGCTTCATGGTCTATTAGAGACCTGTCAATCACTTTAAGCCCCGCCCTAAAGCATCCCCTGCTTCATGGTCTGTTAGACACCTGTCAATCACTTTAAGCCCCGCCCTAAAACATCACCTGCTTCATGGTCTGTTAGAGAGCTGTCAATCACTTTAAGCCCCGCCCTAAAGCATCACATGCTTCATGGTCTGTTAGAGAGCTGTCAATCACTTTAAGCCCCGCCCTAAAGCATCACCTGCTTCATGGTCTATTAGAGACCTGTCAATCACTTTAAGCCCCGCCCTAAAGCATCACCTGCTTCATGGTCTATTAGAGACCTGTCAATCACTTTAAGCCCCGCCCTAAAGCGTCCCCTGCTTCATGGTCTGTTAGAGAGCTGTCAATCACAGTAAGCCCCGCCCTAAAGCATCACCTGCGTCATGGTCTAATAGAGAGCAAAGAGGAAGGCGTTGTCTCTCCGTATCATAGCAACCAGATGTAAAACCTTCCTGTAAAAAGCGCTTCGTGGACACAGACTCTTTGTGGATGAATCGCACTCGAGCGTCTTTGTGTTGTTTCCTCGCTGCTCGTCTCCTGATGGCTGAACGATAATAATCTTCCTCTTTCTCTCCCCTCTCTGCTTTCGCACCTCCGTGTCTTCTTCTGTGGTCTCGTCCAGAGTTCCCCGTC